TACGCCCAATTTTCTGTCGTACGTTCGTTTCATAAATGAGGCCCACTGTATAAAGACCTATGGTTCTAATTTGTGTTAAATAATTTTTTTTGTTTTTTTTGCATTTAGGCTGAATAATTGTGAGCTGACAGAGAAAAGCTGTTCAGTTCTAGCTACTGTTCTCTCCTCCAAAACCATCCTGAAAGAGATGAACCTGAACAACAGCCGTCTGCTGGACTCAGGAGTCAAAGAGATCTGTGAGGGACTGAAGAATCCTGTGTGTGAGCTGAAGATACTCAAGTGAGTACATTTCACCATCAGTTACACTCACAACAGGAATCACAAAATATATTATAAATTTATTAAATCTTATATTAAACCGCTAGGAGAGGACAAAATATAAAATTAACTATGCTGGTCAGTGCTGGTAATTTAACATATTAAGCATTTCTTTTGTGGGAGATCCCCAACCCATCCAACATTTTTGTTAAAAGCTGGGGAAAAAATACATTAATGATCAAATTTAGTTGGTAATCTGCTGGTTTCTCTGGTGCTGCTTCACTCTCAACACCTCTGCTTCCTACAATAATGGTACAGTTATATATCCATAATATTTTTATTATTATTTTCAGGCTCAGTAACTGTGATCTAAATGAGGAAAGCTGTTCAGCTCTCACTTCAGTTCTCAGTTCAGACTTCAGCAGTCTGCGGGATCTTGACCTGAGCAATAATAATCTGCAAGATTCAGGAGTGAAGCTGCTCTCTCATGGACTGAAAGAGAACTGTAAACTGGAGAAACTCAGGTGAGTTGATGCCTGACATACTAAAGGTCCTTTTTCTTTTTTTGGTTTGCTTCCAATGTATTTAAATTGTTCAGAATATTTCTAGAATAATCAATAAATCTGAATGTTACATTTACATTCCTATTCTAGTCTTTCAGACTGCAGTATCACTGAAGAAGGATATAAAGCTCTGGCTTCAGCTCTGAGATCAAACCCTTCACACCTGATAGAGCTGGAACTCCCAGGAAAGTATCCTGGACAATCAGGAGTGAAACAGCTCGATGATTTACTACAGGATCCAAACTGTCAACTGAAGACACTGAGGTGAGACGTGATGAAATAATATAAAATAAATGACATGAAGGATTTTTTTTTTTAAAGAAAACATATTTCACTAATACAGTAATCTGTTGTTATTGTTAATGGTGATTTGTATTAAAAATTTTAATATAGGTTTTAAGCAGTAATTTCTAGATTTTTCCGTTATACCAAGTTTAGTATAGAACTGAATTTAATCCTGCTTCATCTTCCATTCTGCAGGTTTTTGAGTCCTGCTGCAGATAAATGTACTTCTCCTGTGTCCAGGTTTTTGGGTCCTGCTGCAGATGAAGCCTGTCAGTTTGTGACTGGAATTGTGGGTAAAAACCCATTACTCCTGAGAGAGCTGAATCTGAGTGAACAGAAGCTAGGAGACAAACAAATGGATCAGATTGCTGCTCTACTGCGGGATAAACACTGTAAACTCAACACACTGATGTGAGTATTGAATACAACATTATTTTGATGTTATATTTTCACTTGTTTTGTATTAAAACTGTCGTTGTTTATTAAAGAAGGTTTTGAGATAAACTGAATACTGTTTCC